TTTTCTTTTTCTTTTTGTTTCCTGAGAAATAAAAATGACTTCAAACATTTTAATTTCAACATTCTTGTTTTCCATCAAGCCTTTCAGAGACATGGCAAAGCCTTTTTCTTACATGAGATTGCTTTTAAAGCATTATTGCTTTATAGTTGCTCAGCTGTGCATATTCTGCATTAGGTGCCTCACTAAGACTTGCAGATAAGAAATACTGAATGCTTGTAATGTTAAAGGACTTTGGGCTGAGCACATCTGAATGCTGCAGTGCTTTTATGAAGTGGCTGTGCTTGTTCTTCACATGCAGTGGTGTAAAACAAAGCAAGCTCTCCTGAGCTCACTGGGAGTTGCCTTGATTCCTCACAATATCACAGTTATCTGCTGTGAATTTAAAATCTTCCAGAGTTTCCAAATGTGTTTCAGACAGGTGTACCTACAACATATGGTAAAGGCAGTGGAGTGAGGCCCCTCTGTATATGATGTATTCTGGCAACAGAAATAAGCTCAGGTACAGCCTCTGGGAAGTGATCGGTTCATTTAAAACTGTAGCTTGAAGGGATGATTCTAATAGCTTGCTGCTGATGCTATGGACTTCATGTCTTTCCCGCTCTCCCTACAGCTCTAAAACCAGTAAGTTGAACATGGCTTTATCTTGATTTCTCTGGAGGCGATGCAGCACTAATGAGCTGTAAATGAATCTTAACAGATTGCTGTCTGCAGAATTGTTCTGTGTAAGGGAAGACCGGTGAAATTAAGCAGTACAAAAGATATTAATGATTAGAGATAAAGAATAAATTGGATTAAAATAAATGTAATACTTTTTTTTTTTTTTTTTTTTACTTCTTCCTACTCTCCTTTTGAGCATGTTGTGGTACTGTACAAGAGAGCAGATCAGGTACTGAGAAAATGGCTGGTGGATGTTCAGATGTGCCTCAGACCTCTGCCTGCCTCCAGTCAAGCTCTCAGAACAGGTGGCTTGAAGACCAGTGTGTCAGTGTGACACTCTTTCAGGGAGATGCTTGAATCCCAAGCTGTTTCAGACTGAGGAAAAAGGTCTTTGCTTTGATGAGGAAATTGTCAAAATTCATGTTTCATTAGTGTTTCCTAAGGTTCTTTGGAAATGAACAACACTTTAATTAAAGGCTGACGTAAACAAGTTTCTGCACAGTCTTTCTCTGCAGCACTTTATCACATTAAAATTGATCAAAATTGTTGCCTTGGGCTGTCTTCAACAGATATACATCTGGAACACCATTTGTGCAACCTGCTGATGAGCAGGCTGCATACGCTGTGCTTCATAGCAGTTCTGCTGCCTTCCTATGTAGAGAGATTCACCTGGTTGGGAGATGAGATGATCTAACTCTTTTCTATTTGATTAATCCCTTACTTTTTTGATGCGATGTTTTAAAAATTATAATGTGCCCTTGTTTGGGTGCATAATTACTGCATCATCACAGTAGCATAGGAATACAGGCAAGATTGAGAACAGGGCAGAGAATTAAAAAAAAGAAATCCATTTTTCACATTTGAAGAAAGTTTGAGGCAGGACAGGACACAGTGTGTTCTGATTAATGTTGATCTTTTGATAATTTTGTCCAAGTGTTCTTGGCATCTTTCTGCTCTTCATATATACTTAGCATTTTTCCAGAAGTCTAAAAATAAATCATACTGGAAACTGTTTTATTTTCATTCCCCATGTAATAAGGATTGGAATTTCATTCCTGAAACTCTGACACAGACTTAAGACCAAGCAACCTATTCCTGTGACCTCTGCGGGTCACTCATTATGCAGTTATCAGTATATAACTAGGCTGTATGTGGCAACTAGACTACATCTCATGACGTGAAAAAAATCAAATATGTTTCAAAATGAGAAAAATGTGTATTTTCCACTGTGTAGAAGTTGCTGGAAAAATCACATTGAGTCTCTCTGTTGCTTTACTCAATCTCCTTTATTTAAGACACTGAAAAACTAGAGACAGTGAACAACTGCTTTAACTTTTTTCGGCCTCTCTTCATTTTTGTAAATGGTTACTCTCCAGAGAACTGTAAACAGTGTCCTTCCTTATAACAGCTATGAGTCTCCTCACCTGCTCAAGGAGGACGTGGCTGCAGACTTTTTTCCTAACATAGACAGCTATTGTTCCAACTCCCTTGTCAGCTTCATCAATTCCTTGGCAGTGAGAGGCCCATGAATGCTGCATTAAGATGTCAGTGTATGCAGAATGCCAGGGAAGTGGCTGTCTGAATCACATTGCCACGCCAATGCCAAATGCATGATTTTAGTGGCAAGGCTGCCACATGTGCTCTAGCCATTATTCTTTGCAGTTGCTTCTGCAGTGTATGAGACTTCTGAAGGTACTTTGTGGTGGTGTGCCACACAGTGTATATTGAAGTCCCTCTTTTGGCTGCTCATGAGTATTTTTTTTGGCAGTGCTGAATTTTCTGCTAGTGACTACCAGTGGCATTCACCTCGGTGAGGAAAGAGTCTTCTGCATGAGAATTTCATTGCATCTGCTTTGCAGTTACTCTGTCTGTCTTCTGTGTGCTGACTACAGTTCTTTTCCCTGTAAATAGGAGCAGAAGAAAATGACACGTTTTTAAAGGAACTGCTAGCATTATCTTAGTCACCAATCTCCTTTTCAGAAGATCCTTTTCACATTAGTGATGACTCTGGGGGGTTAATGGATATTCTAATTACATTGCACTTCATGTAGCATTCTTCTTCTGAGAAACTAAAATATTTTGGTTTCGAAAAACACAACAACTTTTGCTTGTTTAATGAAGTAACAGCCACCGACCAAATTAAATCTCTGCTGCATTCCAGCAATCAGAAATGCTGACGCGTGCAGAACTTCAGGAGCTAGGCAGCTCCTTCTTTCATGAATTCTTTTGCTGAATATGGGCTTCACATAAGGAAGAGATTTTTCACCTTTAACCCATATTTTTTTCTTCCTTTGGGAAATTCAACTCCAGTACTCTTAATTCGAAGAAAAATCCAACTTTTTGTACATTCTCTTACTTGCAATGGCCTATCTGTGGTCTAGCCAGAAAGATACATGATTACCAATATCTGCTGTAACAACCGTTGAACAGGAAGCCTAAAAGGTGTGAGAAACACTTCTCTTTTTTCTCAGACTTCGCAGTGTTTCTGCAGTTGCAGAGTGTTCATACCATGAACCACAATACAAAGACAAAATATTTGGTTGATTCTGTATTATGACTCTTATAAAACCCCACTACTGTTGTGGAGGTGTGGAACTAGGAGCTTATATTAAGAAGCTAGGGCTGTCATTCAAGCAAAAAATAAAAACATAATGAAATATTTCAAATTAATTCCAGAATTAATGTGCTTTTTTGTTGTGTTGGTTACTTATGCAAAAAATAGTTTAAGAAAATTGTCTTTCAGTTTTAAAAAGGATTTTCTAGCTTAGTGGAATAAATATTCATCCAAACTGTAACCATTTGGAAGTTATGATCTTTGCTGGCTACTGATGGATTCAAAGAAACAAGAATATTCTTCCATTTTCTCTCTTAATAATAATTTATTCACCAAATTTTTATCAGACAGCATTTTTGATAACAACAGAAAGTTGCAACAGATCAGTATAATAAAAAACATACAGCAGCCTTTGTCATATCTGTTAAAATGGAAAGAGTGCTGAATTGCTTGTTTGTAAAGCAATTCCTCGCTCTTGTTGATCGCTTTCCTGAATAAAATCCTTTCTCAGCAGCCTTTCTGAGGGAGTCCATTAGCAAGGTGTCTGGGAAATCAACAGATGTGGTCCCTATGGGCAAAGGGCAGAAGAGGTGTTGCAAGGGGCCTGGCGGAGCACTTGTAGGGTCTGCACTGCCTGGCAGCAATGCCTCTGTAGAGTTCAGCCATGCTTGCAGGGCAGATGGGCAGCACAGTCTCAGTCTGAGAGAAAGGCTTTCAGGGCCAAACCTCTCACTTAAACTCCAGTCAGTTCAGAAGGTTTTGGTCTGATTTGGTCTCAGTAGGGCGTTCCCACTTACAGAGATCTTCCAAGAAGATTTTGTGTTCCTCAGAATAGAACAGTGCACTAATATTAGAAGTGCCAAAATCACTTTAGGGATGAACACGGTCCATGTAGGAAATTCAGCTGCATCATGGCACCAATCCAGTAAAGTACTTAAGAAATGAGCTTCACTTTAAACATGAGTTATTCCCATTGATTTGAAATGGAACACACTTACAATGCTGATGTGTGTCCTCTAAAAATATTAAAATTAACTTCGAAATAATTTAATTTGATTCAGAGTGCAATTAATTAATTTAAACTTTTGGAAAGAATTTGGTGTTTTTGCTTGGGGCAATATCAGCAACCCTGTATGGTAGAAATCATTTGCTTTTCCCTGCTATTGCAGCCAACAGCCTTCATGTAGCAAGTTCTGTTCATACGGAAACTGGGAGGAAGAGGTGGGAAGGCCCTACCTGATGCATGGAAAACATGAAAGAGAGGAGTTAAAGCATCCTTTATTCTTAGGAAGGTTACATTATTTCAGTATATTTTTGGAAAGGGTAAGAGGAGGGTTTTGAAATAACAAAATAATAAATACCATAAAATGGCATGTGCATGGCGGTTACCCTACACACCTGAGTGTAGGTGTTCCATTAAAAAATGCAATAACTATTATGTGGCTGTTGAAGGAGGAGATGATTTGGTGATGTTGTGGGGAGCCGAGAAGTATCTAGGGAGGTTCTGAAGATATGCATTTCTTTGCTGTGTTGGCTTCTCTGGTATGAAAGGAATGTAGTTTCTGTTTTGGAGGACAAAGACTAGCTAGTGGATTATTAATCATTCTCAAGTTGGAAAGTGATAGTTTAAAATTAGCTTATTGGTCATAGGGGAGTTGGGTCACCAAACAATATTTGTGCAAGAACTGCAAAAATAAATATCTATAGTTTACAGAATCATGTGCCATGAGATGGGCTTTTAAGTTAATGTCATTGCTCTGCTTAATTTTATTTTATCTTATTATTGTAGATATGTCTTCTCCTACAATGAAGAAGCCTGAAAAGCCTTTGTTTAGTCCTACTTCTCCCCAGGATTCTTCACCAAGACTGAGCACTTTTCCCCAGCATCACCACCCAGGAATCCCAGGAGTTGCACAGAGTGGTGAGGACTATAGAGGTGGAAGAAATTCCTCCCTATTTGTCTTCTGATCTTTCCTACTTTGTGATAGTGATGCATTTTACAGAATTATGTAGACACATAACGCCATTTATATTACTGTGAGGACAGGAACAGAACTGGATATGTTGCAGAGGTTGTGGTAACCTTGCAGAGACTGACTCGCATTGAGGTAGTTCAGGTAGTATGACTTCTGCAAGACACTGGAAAGAATTTAGGATTAGCTCTAAATTGAATAAAGAAAGTGACAGAGGAAAAATTCTCTCTGTTTTTCGTCCTTCTACTTTAATCCTTATTATTATTATTATTTTTTATTTTATTTTATTATTATTATTATTGTTGTTGTTGTTTCTGTGAGTGTATTGTATTTAGATACCAGAATAGGTAGGACTGCATACAAAAGAGAATTCATCATTATATTCATCACATGAAATAACTGCCAGTGCTTCTTTTCAATTCTCTGTGATAAATGATTTTCAGACTTTTTTTTTTTTTTTTTTTTTTTTTTTTTGAGTTCCATGGTAAATCCGTACTAAAACTTCACTTAAAGTGTGAAGGAACTATAAAGGAATTGCATGTTATCTTGTGGGTTTAATAGGAAAGACAGGGAAATTCCATCACCAGGGTCTGTTTAATTTGAAAGCTGAGAGTTACCCTGATTCTCCAGATGAGAACACAGCACACACAGAAGTCTTCCCTCAGTGACTCATCACCTCTCCTTATACACTGCATAGAAAGGGTTTAATTTCTTGAGCAAAGCTGGATGTTTTGAAGAGTGAAACAAATCTGAGCACACTCTTTTCTATAACATGCAGTTCTACTTTGCGAATTTTCTCTTTTGTGATTTCCCTGTGATCTGGAGGTTTTATCCTACAACTTACATGTAAGGACTACATTCCCCCTAACATCTTCTTACTCGATTGTGAAGGGAAGCCTGGACTCATTCTGGTCTGTGTGGATTTCCACCATACTCAGTCACAACGGAGATGGAATAGATGTGTTCCTACTCACTTGAGTTTGTTTTGCACAGTTTCCCATGACAGGGCAGTAAATGACGTTTTATAAGTTAACTGAGTTGGTGGAGCAGTGATTAAAATAAAACAAATCTTTCTCAGAAATTTCTGTAATTATTTTTGACCCCACGCTTATGTGTTGACACATTTGCTTTTGGTATATAAATTTAGGTGTATGTGTTTGAATAGCAAGATATAATTGTAACCTAATTCTGTGGATCAGCTATTTATTGGGAGATCTGATTGCTATCTGTACAGCATATTCTATTCTGTCAGTGAGCAATGTTTTGGGGATTTGCAAAGTTTTGATTATAAAGTACAGCAATTTTGGAACATTTCTAACAAGGGCAAACTTCCATTTGGTTCTCAAAAATAGAAATCCACTTAAACATTAAGCTGGAGAAAAGCAAAGACATTGCACATAGCGATGTAGAGCACTGTTGGTGTGCTTGTGCTGATACAGTACAGAAATGTGATGTGATGATACTCATGAACAGTTTGTAAAATACCCTGCTTATACAGATCAGATTTTGCATCCTCCCGCTAAGGAAAATTAGCACAGCACTGTCTTTTCTTTACTTTCAATGAAGTCAGCACCTCCTTTAAACAAGCCACATGTAGGTGCCCACCAGCTGTGTAGCAAGAGGGAAAGCGGGTGTCTGTGCAGCCCAGGAGAGAAACTCTCTCTCCACTTCCAGCCGGATGAGGCAGCCGTGGCAGGACATACTGTACATTCCTTTCACTGTGAAAACACTGCTGGTTGTTTGGATGTGACATATAGTCTATAGATAGAGAAGTATGTGTTTGTAAGGGCTGGGAAGAAAGGGAATGTAAAGAAAAACATATACAGTGTAGAACCCTTTTTTTTTTTTGCCAGAGATATTTTCATTGGATGGACTGATTTCCCAGGCCCTGAAGTTGAATGTTCATTAGCATTTTCAAAAAGGTCAGCTAATTATTCATGGCTTTATTACCGAATAGTTATTACCCATCCCCACATGAAGCAGGTAGAGTGCAATGCAGTGATGAATCACTGTTTTCTTAAGACATGGTGGCTGTGTTCTCTTCTGTTGGAATGATGTGAATGAAAGTGTAGGTTTTATCTATTTAGTAAAATATTTATTCTGTTTATTTAGGCTACAAATTGGAAAATTTTATATTGAAGTGTTTTCTGGTAAAGAATAATTACTGCCTGAAGAAAAATAATTAAAAAAAAAAATGTAGGCATAACCCACAAAATCAAAACAAGTTATTCTATTTATGAATTTAAAAGAGAAGTGCTTTCCACTGCCTGGGATGGTGTGAAGGGAGGACACAAAAGATTTCTGTAAGGATACCATGAAACAAGAATACAATGTGCAGGTTTATAACTGACTTCTTATTTTTCTTGCTGTAATACAGAGATGAAGAATGTTAGAAGAAACAGCATGCAAAGTAATTTTAATTTTATTTTATCTTCTCCAGTCATCTCAACTAGAACTCCACCTTCACCTTCACCACTGCCATTTCCAGCACAAGCTATTCTCCCTCCTGCCCCATCTAGTTACTTCTCTCATCCAACGATCAGATATCCTCCCCACCTGAATCCTCAGGATACTCTGAAGAATTATGTACCTTCTTACGACCCGTCCAGTCCGCAGACTAGCCAGGTACTGTAAAACCACGCGAACCCTCCAAAAGCAATCCATTGAGGAATGTGTATCTCTTCCAAGATGTTTATACTGATATCTCACTAGTTCTACTCTCAGAGAAAGCTGGGAGCTGGACCACTTTTCCTATTTGACACGATTGAATAAAAGGAGCAAGATAGACATATCGACTCACTGTTGCTCTGCCAAGCAAAAGAGAAATGATTGCACTGAGAGCTTTGCCAGTGCCAACACCACCAATCCCCATTCCACATCCCTCCTGCAGGCTGGGTGCTGCTGTGGCCTGAGTGTCAGGACAGAGGCGAAGCTCCTGCTGCAGGATGGAGGCAGGCATCTGCTGATACATGCACACACATTTACACACACACACAAACATACAAGTAGATTTTAAAGACCAGCAAACAAAATAAAGTCTGGCAAGGTAATGCTTGCACTGTTTCATAGACACCTGACATTGCACAGATGTAAAGACATTTAGTGAGCACAGTGCAGATTCCTGGTCTTGTTTTTCCTTCCTTTTGTAGAGAACATGCAGCAACAGATGAGTTTCTGGCTGCTACACTCATTTAGGCTTGTCTCTGATATTGGAAATTAACGTGGTTTTCACTAGAGGAGTAATTTGTACAGGACTGTGTGCAAAACTGATTTCCATGATAGCATCAGCACACAGCATTAACATGTGATCTGCACTACAGGATAGAGCGCAGCTGAGTCTTGATCTGTCAATGCTTGGATTATTTCCAGTGTCAATGTAATGTAATCTCTGCAGCTTGAGCTAGTATCTGGTTGTGATGTTTTGTCTGAAATGTTCCTGTGGAGTCCTGTAGCTTGTGCACTAGCATGTGTTTGGGAGAGCCTTGGGAATGCGCTGAAGTGGCAGCAGGCAGGTTTTCCTGCTCCTAAGAATTAAGTTCCTTTGGAAGGGTTGTCTTATCAGGGTGAGGAGATTGTTGTGCTGATGGGTTTTTTCCCCACAGATAATGACGGACCTTTCAGTATGTGTTTCAGGCACAAGAGCAGTAGAACTTGAGACTGAATCAAAGTTTCTATGTTGAATAACAAATAAGGCCCCTCTGGGCTGTTCAGAAAGTCACTCTGGCTATTGTGCCCACAGGCAAATGCTCCAACCTAGCTGCATGACATTCTATGTGTTTAAGAAAAAAAAAAAAAAAAAAAAAAAAAAGTGGGTCCATAAAACCAAAACTTACTTTGATGAAAAGTCTTAACAAAGTGTTTTTTGTTGGTTACTGTATTAATGCAAATTAAACCAAAAAGTGAAAACGGAGTATGTCGGCTTTAGAATACAAATTGCTAACAGTGCATGAATTGAAAGTCTTTCAGTCCTATAGCATTTTTGCTGAGACTCAGCTGGGAACATTGCACGCAGGACCTGATTTCAATTTGTGTAAAATTTCCATGAATAACAAAGTCTAATTAAGACATGCATTAAAAGTCCTTAATGTTAATTCAGTGTGGAAAATCTTAAGAGTTCTATTGGATTTATTTTTTTAAACTGATGCCTTAATTAGGCACTATTACGGGAAAAATTATGCAAATTAAAATCAGGCCCTTAGTGTTATATGTTTCTTTAATTATTCAGTGCTTGTTTTACTTACATTTTCATTTCTTATATATATTAAAAGAGCAGATTAGTTGATAATCTCAGATTGTTCAGTGTTGTTCTGGTTTGGATCATCGCTGAAAAAGCAAATCAACTAAAAGAAGTATGTGACTTTCAGGCAGTTGACAAATGTATCATCTTTTGATTTTGATATTGGGAACTGTATTCACTGAAGAGAAGAAGCACTTTCAACTCTTTGCCCAATAAGAGTTTTACTCTTTTACCTTATTGGTAGTTAAATGATTAATCTTAAAGCCTTAAAAGACAAGATTTTACTCTGCTGATCCTTTCAGAGCTGTAGTGAACTGAAAACATTTACTACTCTTGTGCTGTGGCACCGTAGGGAATAAAGGACAAATTGGCTTCAATTTACTACTCTGTCACCTTTCATAACCTTTATATTAAGCTAATGTTTTTCATTTCATTTGATGTTTGATTTAGTTTCTAAGAACAGGAGGCAGGATTAAACAACACCAAGTATGGGATTACAGGCATCTGTACCAGCTATTCTCTGCAATTTATTATAATTAATCTCTAATATTACAGAAATCTCTTTTAAATTTAATTCTTTAAAGTTCACCTCTCAGATATTGCCTGTACTAGAGGAGTTGCATACTCAATCAAAATATCTCCAAACAGAACAGCTAAAGGATGGCTGTACAAACAGTAAAATAACAAGAACGTTGGTTTTTTGTTTTTGTTTTTTGTTTTTTTTTGTTTGTTTTTTTGTTTTTTGTTTTTTGTTTTTTGTTTTTTTTTTTGCTTAGGAAAAGAAGCAGCCGTCTGTGAAGTTTCACTGACAAACAGGAATTGTTCTGATACAATGGCATGCTTTGAGCCAAACCAGTTTTTCTTTCCTAAATAAAACATGAATTTTTATTCAAATAAATCTAATTATTATAAAATGCAAAACTGCATCTGTAGGAATACCACATCAAATTTAATTATACTTTCCCACCTCAAAACATATTCATTTGGATTTCAAAAGAGAACTATGATGATAGTTTTAATTTCAGCTTTAGAAATAGAAAGAATGGATACCCTGACAGCATTTACCTAGAATGAACTGTTCCTTCTCAACATCTTTCAGTAATACACTAATTTAGATTGTTACGACAAGCAACTGAGATGCCTTGTACTCCCCACAGCAATTTTGAGATTAATTACATTAGTGCTGCACTGATTATAGTGAGACAGTCATGCTATTCAGTGAAATACTTTTAAGTAAAATTAGTTTAAAGCTATAGAACCCCCATAGGTTTCCACTGGGGGAAACAGTGGGCAATTTTCCTGACATGATGTTAAATACCCCAAATTATGTGTGATGAACAGTCAGGAAGTTCAGATAGGCCCTTTGGCTGCAGTGAAAAATGATGCAACAGTGGATGATCCTAAACAAAAGAGCCATAGCTTTAAGTTTCATGAGTATCTGTTTATTATCCCGTGTTCAATCTGGAGAATAAATAAACAAACATATTGGAAAGAAATGGATCTATTCAGATATGGAGCTGAACTTGCCTGTGACTGGGAATCTAAGAAGTTCCCAAGATCCTGAGAATTAATGCACTTTCCACTAGTTAAATAATACTGCTGAGATCTTTTTATTGTATTTATTTTAACTTTTCATCTTAGCTTACTGTACTGCTGAATGAGATTTTGTGTTTGAATATGTATTCATACTATGATGGGTCTTGGTCTTCCCAGTTAAATTAATACTGATTTCTTCTTACATGCTTCATCAAAAATGAATCACTTGTTACGTGTCTAATGTACCTACAGTATTTATCCATCTAAAGAATATTGGGGTCTTGAAATCCACTCCAGACTTTGAGCATGCATTTCCTTTTCGAATGGTTGCAGCTGAATTTTGAATGCTTGGACAAACTTACCTTCTGTGTGTGTACTCATGTTCACAAACACTTAAAATGCACTGCTAAATGAGAGTGCATGAATCAATACATAGGAACAAAATCATCAAGCACAACAAAAAGGCAAATCCAATGGTTCTAAACTTAATGCTCTGTCAAATTAAGTAGAATCATTTTCCTGATTGAGGTGTGGTTAATCACAGGAGATGAGGTCTACAAGTGAGATGAAGGATATGTCAGTAAAGCAAACAGTTAACGTTAATCCTGCTGAATTTTGGCATCAGTGATTTTTTTTTTTCTTTGTTTGTTTGTTTGTTTTTTAACTGAACCAAGCAAACAGAATCATACACTCTTGCAAACTCTTTGGGCTTGAATTATGAAGGGCACAGTTTACAGGTAACCTCTAATCAGATTTTGTGATATTATTTGTGAAATGTGTTGATCTCAGTGGCATGGTAATACTGCTTCCAGTTTGAATGGGTTACTTATCTGACTCTTTTTCTCTTAAAATAATGCCTCAAATTTGCAGTGCAACTGAACCCATCTACATACTGACTAAAATTCCCAGGTTATTAAAACATAATTTGTGGCAACATGGACCAGTTTGCAGCTTTATGTTTTAACAATTTTAATTTTGTTTGAAGACAGAAATATCTGAACTGCTAGAGAAGAGCTGCTGCTGGAAACTGGTGAGGCTGGTTGTTTTCCTCTTGTAACTGATTGGGATATTCAATTTTTGTTCAACAAACGATGGATACACTTTTATGGAATTCCAGACAGATGCTTTGTAATTCTTCAGTACAATAACTTCAGTAATCTGGCAGTGAGGAGGGAATTGTTGTGAGGCTTTCTTTAGGCTGGGCAAGGGGTTTCCTTTTGGTTCTTGGGAGGAAAAGAAGAGTAAGCTGGCACAAATGATATGTGTACACACAATTTCTCTGGGCTAGTCAGAAACTTTATTTATTGACATTAAATAATTTCAACTTCTTGGGAATGCATCTTTCCATCATAATTTTTAAGAAATTATTGAAGATTAAATAAGACAATTTATTGGTTTTAATTGTAATTGGAAGGCAGAGAGAGAGTACTAGTTCAGGTTTCTGCTGACAAAAGACTTAAAGATGAAATTGCAATTCTAAATAATTATTTTGTATTTATTCATTTTTAGTTTAATAAATATACAGCTGTAAGTCTCTGGATTACATAAAATGCCATTAAGTCCAAATATACCTTTTGAACATTTACCTGCAAAGAAATTTCCTTTCCCTTGCTTGTGTAAGATGGCTTATTCAGTTAAGGAAAATATCCAAGGAAAATTGAGTATTTCCTTTAAATTTATATATCAATAAATATTTCACATTTTATAAGCTCATTTATATCTCAAAATTGTTGTTCAGAATGAAGGATTCTTCTTCTAGAATCTTATGATATCCATATCTGAACAATGGATGTCACAGCTCTGCAGCTGCTCTGTTTCAGCTGCACTGTGTTAAAAGTGTTTTCTCAAATGGATGAGATTCAGAACTTTATAGATCAAAGTCAACACCCTGATTTCTTTCAGAAAGAAATACAGATATGATGTTGTCAGCCAAGAACTGGCAATAACTTGTTTTTTTCTGAAGCTAATTCCTCCAGGCAGACAGGTAGCTGCGTGTCACACCTCCTGAAGCTTTTGTGTGGGATCTCTCAGTGAGGTCTGTGTAGGATGTGCTGTAGCAGTCAATTACTGAGGTTATGGAAACTCTAGTGAGAGTCATCCTTAAGAAAAGTGGTAAGAGGCACTATAAAAAAGCTAAATGTTTTTTCCTCTTGAGACCATAACGTCTAATAGCAGGAAAAAAGCCTCCATAGCCTTGTTTTTGGTAAGTATTTTATGGAACTCCCAAGGTTCAACTCAAGGAGAAACTCTTACAGTGCCCTACAGTCTCAGTGGCATATATATGTATTAATGCTTAGAAGAGTGTCAAGATACTGTGTTGTGTTACTCAGATAGGCAATATCTTGACCATGTATTTTCTACCCATTTGACGAAAACGGCTCCTGTACTGTTGAGCTGTCTTCCATGGAACAAATGGATGGGTACAGGTAATACAATAGTTAGGCGTCCTATGAAAAAACTTCTAGCTTTGAAGATGATTTGTATGATATTACCAAAAAAGGTGTTGGAGAGAGGTAGAGAAACAGAAGATATTTCTTCCAATTTCCTTTTACATGTAGCTTTACTGAAACATCCATAACCCCCTGTAGATTCCACAGAACACAATAAACAAAACAGAAGTATTAGTTATGAATTCCACGTTCATAAATTTGGCCAGTAGGCAACTCTTAAAATATTTTGTACAGTGGACCGAAATATGCAGAACTGACTCTTCTGCATTTTCAGCAACAAAATGAATTCAACTGGTGGTCTTGAAACCACACTACTATAGATAGAGTTTTGTAATGTTATTCACCACCACAGTATCTAACATGGGACTGGAACTGTCAAGAAGATGCAAGTGATAAAGGAGTTCCAAATGCACCAGATCCATTGTGACAAGATTACACTTATTGGTAGATCACTCAGCTGCAATTGGTTAACATTTTTGGGAAACACTGCTTCTCTTAACAAGCATTTGTTCAGAGATGCAGATAAACTGTTCCCCAAGTGTAAGGTCTAGCTGGAGTGACATGATTTTTATTAAGTCCCAAACTTCCTTCTGAAAGACCTAACAAAGTACTATAAGTAGTTATACTAAAACATACCAAATTTAGATAATTTCTTGTCTTTCTTATTTATTTATTTATTTATTTTGTTTATTATTTCTTTGAAGATGCTTTGTGTTTAAGATTCTAAGGACAAATGGAATTGTTTTATTTGGATTTTGGACTTATAATAATAATGAATTGTTCCTTTTTAAAAACAGTTAAATTAATAAAAATGTATTGTAGTTTAAACATAAAGTACAATTGTTGTAATACCAATCTCATATTGTCATTAGGTTTGGATGTCTCATCTGCAGGTGTTAGTATTGCTGCTTTAATATGGCAACATACAGATTTTTTTAATGCTAGAAATAGTGAGCTTTTTGACAAAACGCTGTTCATAATCACAACTGAAAACCTACTGGTGTTTGGTAAAATCTGTGAACAGTAATGCAAGGGAAGGGTAATTGACTACTGTTTACAAATCTGTTAACAAAACCCCAGCAGCAAAACCAGCTATACTAAGTTCTGATTTTAAGAAAGTTTATATTAATATGTTACTAATTACTGTTCCAACTTCAGACCTGAGGATTTCCTGAAGTCATGTGTAGTACAGATAATCAGATATTAACTGTCTGAGTTAAGTTTTGCTATATTTAAGACAGTCTGTGGCTCTGGGCAGTTAAATGAGCTTATCTGTGATAATTCAAGATAGTGTGATATTAAAAAGCTGAAAAATGTAACACTAATCTAAAAATCAAGTTAGCCTCTAATCCAACAATAAAAAATGTATGACTACATAAACTGGGGCTAAATTTGGCATTGCGTTTTCTTCTTTCTCTCATTTTCAAATGCACAGCTTGTTTATCTAACACAGCTGCCTTCCTGTAATTTGCTTGAGGTTTATGCCTCAGGCTTCATCGTTCTGTTTGTGAATCCATTGCACAGACATACTGATGCCTCAGTTGATGGTAACGGTTGATTTTTCACCTGTAATGCATTAGTCTGAAGAATCTCTTCAGGGAAAACTGGAACTAGCGTTTATAATTTGCATTTAATACAAGTGGAGAGATGTACTGTATTGCTGTTCTGTTCTGCAGAGGGAAAATGTTTATGCACAAATGGATTTAAAGTATATTCTTTCTTGTTCTTGCAACCCACCAAGAAAAAGGTTTGCTGTTTTGGACTATGTGCATATGGACTAAAGCTGGAGTCCATGTGAACTGGGATCTCTAGGGAACAGTAGAAGGTGATACATTGCTGTAAACTGTCCTGGATTCCAGCTGTGTCCATTTAATTAATTTGAGTCTGGCTTTGGAGACAGAGCTGCTTTTGGAAGCTAATGACACTGGCTGATTTAATCCATAAATTCCTTGGAATATTCTTTATTAGCCTATAATAAAAACTGATTGTTTTAGTAAGGGAATCTCTGTTGTTTCTGAGGTACGCTAACATACCACACGAGCTAAGCATCATAAGGTAGTGCTATAGTCACACGTCTATGACTCCACTAGAAGCTACCAGATGCAATAGTGACCTCCGGCATGCTGCATAGATAGCTTGGCAGCAGGGAGGAGAGGGGGCATACCGCTGCAGCAGGGCTCTCAGAAGCATGTCAAAGATTCAATCTGAACAGAAAGCAAGCTGGGTAAATCTTATAAGTTTTCTGAATTTACATTAGTTAAAGTTTTCATTTTCTTCTAAAGCAAGTAGAATCAGATTTATAGTCACTAAGAAGCCTGGTTTTTCTCAAGAAGATACCCAGTATGTATTCTTCTACGTCATTTTCATGTAAAAGTAAGAGAGATCTACTTAACTACTAAGTTTCACCCAGTGAGTAAAAGTCTAGTTAACATACTAGTTATTTGGGTAAATGTGAAAGTATTGTCATTCCTTTCCTTTGAATCAGTGCTGTTTTCTTGTTCTGAAGGTACTTTGACAGCTGATTCACCTACTTGTTACTAAACTCCTAGTAATTACTTTTCAGTTTAAGCTACTAGGGATATTAATGACAAAGTGAAAATACCACCCAGTTCTTAAAATTACAAGATCTTGGAACAGCGTGGCTGCTTGGCCCAACCTCTTCCCTCTCAACATATAGTTGTGTTTAGGAAGTGACTTTTTACATTTGATAGTAGTGGGAGTAGTTTAATTTGGGTGCAGTTTGTTGGCCCTTTCTCATCAGTACTCATTTGGACTTTTACCTTCCGTTCTAAGGTTTGTGATTTTAGAGGGAGAAGTAATCTTATATGTGCTCAGTATTCTTGTGAATACCAGACTGGTCTCCATTTGTACTTACATTTTCTAGTTTTGTTTTAGGTGTTCTAAAGAATGAAGCTCTCTGTCTCCACTGGGGGCATACGCAGAGTCTCATAGATCATACTGCCAGGAAGCTTTTCCTGCTATTCATTTTAGATTTCCTCCTTCTCTATTTCATTCCATTACCCCTGGTTTATACTTCCTGTACTTTCCAAATATTTCCTTCCTCTTCTGTTTGTTTATGCTCTACACGTACTTGCAGAAATCATTTCAGCCCATGGTTATTATTTTACTACTATAACCATGTTCACCTCTTTTAACCTTCCATTGTATCAGTTGAATCAGGTCTTTTATCAGTCCATTTGTTTCACTGAACTATTTCACATTTTAGAATATCCTTTCAATAATAAGATTCAATAATAAGATTACCATTAGAGTATGTACACTAATGCAGAACGTCTAAGGCATGTTTAAACATTGTGTAAGTATGTATGCTTACAATGAACACTGCCAAATTCAGATGTGCCTAAGTGCAGAGAGTAAAATATTATCCTGATGACCTGTGTCATAAAGTCACATGCAGATCAACTCTTGCACATCCTGTGAATCTATGAATGATGTGGCTTTGTAATGGTCTCAACTTGCGGACTTTCCATTACTAAATACTTCTGTGAAGAGTGTTTTTTGATAATTCCTTTTTTTTTCTTTTCAAAAAGTTATGATATTTGCAGTACAGTAAATGTATCCCAGCCCTCTCCCCTACTCCCAAACATGTGAATTATTAGTTAATCTTCCAGTATGTGTAATCTCTGTGGACAGATGTGGTCAAATCTTGGTTATTCTCCAAGCCAGAGTGGTATGGCACGTGAAAGTAGAAGTTTTCCATCGTTCATTTGCTCTTAATAGTTAGCACATCAGGGCTTATGCCTGGTCAGTTTAATCTTGTTATCATGGTACTTAGTGCAGTTCACAGCTGTGTGAATGGCAAGTATGTTTTGAAACAATCTGACATATGCTGCATCCAGAAAGAAACAAAGCTCACCAAAAGGTAGTGCTACTAAATATGTAATACTTTTCTGAGGAGAGTTTTCTGTCAGATGAAAATATCTCATAGCAATTCATAGGTTTATTAAAACAGCACATTCCAGCATGCAGTACTACAGTGATGGGCGTTCTGGAAACCCCTATAGTAGGTGGGTACGTGCCTTAAACACAATCTGTATGTTTCACAAACAATTCTTTTGGTTTTGTTTTGTAGCCTAACAGCAGTGGTCAAGTAGTAGGGAAAGTGCCTGGCCATTTTACTCCAGTTTTGGCACCCTCTCCCCATCACAGTGCGGTGCGACCTGTGACCCTGACCATGACAGATACTAAGCCCATCACTACATCCACTGAAGGTGAGGCATCTTCACCTACAGCAACCAGTAAGTATTTCTCTAGGAAACAAAAAATGTCCATCAAAGATTAAAAATACCAAATTGAGGCCAGAAAAAGGCGCCTTTTCCTACTATTTGACCAAGTGGATGCTCACCATTTACATGGAGAGCAAATATGTGATCTGACTGCAAGCTTTTCCTCTCCAAATTTCAACCAATGCCTCATGTTACATGAACTGATATTTGTGACATGGCAAACAAAATGAAAAGGGAAAGCCTGCATATGTGACCACTATTCAAGAAAAATAAAACATGATAGTTCATTTAAGGTGGACGTTGTAATGACATTGAGAAGCACACCCAGACAGCAAGGCTTCACAATGATCCACAGATGGAATTCCAAACACAGATTGGATGATTTGCTCCTCAATGGACTTTCCTACAGAAATCAACCTTTTTACAATGCATACTGAATCCGAGCTATGAGAGTTGCATACTGATATAGGTTGTGTCAATTTTAGCAAAAATAAATGACAGGACAAAAGAAAATTTTCATTTCTTTTCACCGTTGAAGTGGATAGTTGATTCCCTGTTCATTTATTTAAAAAACAAAAAGCTTTGAAGTTTTATGCTCTTACTATATCTTCAGGACCAGATTATTTACCCTATTTTCTTCAATGGAACTGCAGTTTTGGAAATAAGAACAAAGATATTACTAGGCAATGGGTAATTTTTTCTCTTTTTACTATAAATCTTATTTTCAATAATGCACGGACTTTTACTTATTCTCTGAATATCTATTGTCTTTGAACTTTTCTTTAGACTGGAGATATGTTACCAGTATTTATTAGATGAGAAGATTTTTGGAGACACTTACCAGTTTGAAAGAAACCTCATTTGTTAAAAATAAGAATCTCTTTAGGACCAATTACATTTAACTGACTTGCTTTAGAAACAGTTAGTTTTTGTGATTCTATTCCAGAAATGTTAGATTGGCATTAACTGAGACCACAAAATCCTCTTTTTGTTTTTAAACTACCTCAAACCACTTCATTAGAATATGAAGCAGAAACAAGCACTCAAATGCATGTGAGTGGCAAGATTTAAAGGAGTAAAAATGGTTATTCTTTTATCATAAAAATATAGTAGTAAATCTTGGACAAACTACTGCTTACCTATAAACGTATATGGATAGATTTTTGTCAGTGTACTAGGTATTCTTTTAGTACAGCAGAAGGTTTCTTAAAAGAATTTAGTGGTACATTGTATCTGTACCTTGTTTAGCATCATATGGTGCAGTTTTTGTAGTTCTTGACAAGAGCTGCAAACATGAAGATGTTGCTGTAAATTTCTGGTATAGAATAGGTGGGAATATAGCAGGTTCATACATTGTTTCAGCTATTCAACATTTCATCCTCCTTCCTGTTTGACATGGTTGTGAGTGGACCAAGTATCGATCTCAGATGAGGTCAGAATCTCTAGTACATATGGTAAAAAGAATAAGTAAAGTGTCAGATATACATTGGGATGCTTTCTGGTAATCTGACCACAGTAATGATTGTTAGAAGAAAGCAATCCTAATCTGTTCATTAATTGTTGTCCTACTACTAAATGAAAAATTTGGATTGCATTTTGAAATTGAGTTTGCATCCAGTTTTGCTTGAATTTCATTGGAACTTTGGCTCACAAATTACCCTGTGAACATTAGAAAATCTCTCCTTGGATAACTGAAATAAGGCCTATTCTTGCTTCCACAGCAATACCTCAGCAATTTTTTTGCTTAAAGATTCAATGTCTGCCACAATAGCGAAGAAGTAGCAATGATAAAGTGTACACATTTTATCAGAATGTGCCAGTTCTGCACAAAATAGCATACTCATGCTCATATTCAGAGTGCTGTGATTCTGAGAGCAGTGCAGTTGTGTTCCTACTTGGGTAAGCCCCACTGAAAATGGTTTGATGACTGACAGAAAAATAAATGAAGGAACATGGCTTGCTGAAGAAGAAAATAGTACAAAATGAGGGATCATATGCTGCTGGTACAAAAATCATAAATGAATCTTTACAGACTGGATTATCAATCTCAACTTACCAGCCACTGGGATTGTTGAGGTGTTTAGTGGAAAGATTCAGCCTGAAGTTTGTTTCAAGGTATAATTTTACCTTTATTTGCTATAAATTATTGACATTTTCAAAACATGTAAGTATAAATAAAACATATGTTTGGCCAGCAAGTTTTTATTATTAGTGTGATGAAAATAAAATGATTAACACTGCTTTTCATTCCAAAGTGTAACAGCAGAATTGCTTTGATAATATTTGAAAATATTATCAAATTTATAATATTTTTAAAACCTCTGATAATATTTGAGGAGTGCTGTGATCTCCACCATAATTTCCTTCTAAGTATTTGGCTCATTTTTATGATGGTCTTCCAGAATGGTTTTTAATATAGGAAGTCTTTAATTATTATTATTTTTTTAAATGACAGATATCATTTGCTTGTAATTGCCATGTAATTTCAATACAAATTGGAGCATTTATTAAGTATGTCCATCTAGGTCCTCAGTGGCAAACTTCTGTATATCTGTTCAATTTTATTAGTTCTACTTTGTCCACCAACAAGTTTCTAGGCTGTTACGCCATGAGATGCAGTGTAGACATCTCCGTATGAGGAAGTGGAGTAAGATCACCTGCCCCATTTTTTAAGCACCACCAAAAGCCATAAGAAGGTAATAGATTTTAGGGATTGCTGACAGACCAGACAGGAATGTGATCTACAGCTGAAGGATCATAGCACCTACCATCCTCTCGCTCCTCAGAAATGGATTTCTTTAAGCTTTTGTAGCACAAAAGGAACAAACTTCCTTAAATTGTCCTGTTGGGAAAATATTTCCTGATGCATAATGGAGTTGAATATTTAATATGATATTTTGGAGTAAAAGTTATCTCCTATCTCATGGAACTACTAATGAGATTGCACCTTTTCTCCAAAGGACTGTAAAAGAGTAATTTCATGCCAAACTGAATTTTTGTTTTCAATTTTTGTTGTTCTCTTACATTCTGTGAAGGACAATGACAGCCGTAAAACAACATGAACTAATACTTTTCTCTCACAACATTAAAATGTTCATGATTTCACTGGTACCTTAAACTGATGTAATGAAAATGAGAACCAGACTTGCAGTTCTTTCAAATATATCATTTAATTAGTTTACAAAAAAATAATATGCATTAATCTGACAAACTTTTATTTAACAAGAGTCAACACTTTGATTTATGCATGCAGCTTCCATTGAAGTTTGTAGGAATTTGCACATGCCTCTGACCATGGTCCAACTTTTCTTTTGCATTCTATTAAAGTCTAAGTGAAGGAAAAAATAGACACATCCTATATATTGCAAAATCATAACTCTGGATATCTGTACTGTACCTGCAGAGGGTAATAGCTATGATAGGTTGGTATTTTTATCAATCTGTTTTGTTCTTCCTTAATCAGCCTACACAGCTTCAGGCACATCCCAAGCCAATCGATATGTGGGACTAAGCCCAAGAGACCCATCCTTCCTACACCAACAACAGGTGGGCAAGTTTCACATAGGTGTAACAATATAGAGAAGTTTTTGCACTATTACCTTTCTAAGCTCTGCCACTGTTATCTTGAATTAGAACGGGAACTTAAAATTTTCAGTATTTATCATCTGAAGATGCAGTTTATTCAAACCAATACTGAATCACTTAAGAAACATGAATTTAGCTTATGCTTTATTTCTTAGATTTGTGTCATCTTAAGGAACTTCTAATCGTATTTATTCCAAATGCTGCATTTTTCGAGAGCTCATACATGTAATCTTTAATTGGATTTAGGATTGAGGATTAGATATATAAGGAACAAATAATCATTTTAAATCAACTAAAATTAAGCAAAATTTCCAAACAGAATAGTCCAATTTACTATTTTTAAGCTGTACTGTAAGCATTTTTCAGATGTTTAGGGCAACACTTCAGCATTTATTTTCTAGAAAATTAAATATAAACTCAAATTATCAGTACAACATATAAAGCAGTTTACAGTTTAATAAGTTTGCATTGGTCTGCAGATCTCAAATGTGATAAAAGCATGGTTTTGTTCTAGTTTCTTATATCATTTATGTTTCAGGAAGCATTTTATTTTTCACATCTTGTTAATGTTGTAAATTTAATGCAAATGAAGTGGTTATCCAAAATGTGAAAATATACAGCCAAGATTAATGATAGTTTACAAACAAAATATCCACAGTCAATTTCAATGCCATGCATATACAGAAATCCTACACTGCTAATAACAGGAACAAATTCCAACACCTTAGATCATCACCATATTTTATGATGTGTGTTGCTGTTGCTCCTGTGTCTTTGCAGGAGAAGAGTTTGAAATTAGCAGCATTTAAAATGTTACAAGGAAAAAAAGTGAATGTGGCAGTAAAAATGGAGCTGTTAAATGGCCCTCGGTCTTTTCTGTGATTGCCATGATATAGCTGATGTGCGCTTCACCTGGAACTCCCTCTCTCTACCCAATCCCAGGGCAAGGTAGTGGTATGGCTGCTTTAGAGGTCACCACATGCAAAGTCCTCAGAAAATCATAAAGATGATATTCAAGACAGTTGACACATTGCCAACTTATTTGTTAATCAGCAAGATCTCCCAGGAAACACTTGTATGCATTTATAAAAATATAAAATCAAATTTTTTTTTGCCATCAGTTGTTTCACTGATGTATTGTTTTCTTTAAAGATCACTGCATTATGAAATGTGTTATAATTACTACGACATAATTATTTTTGAAGATATACAGTGTCATTATATATATTTTATTTGATACACACACAAGATCTCTCTTTTTAAACAGTACATTGTTATTTCTGGATTTTCTTTTCATGTGATATTTTACAGTGTATCCTTTGAAAAGTCTCTGACACCCAGTTAGATTGCACAATTAGTTGTTTTTTTGTTTTTTTTTTTTTTCCCACATGCATTTATAGACTTTTTTTTTTTTTTTCTAAAATTCACTTCTTAAATCTACTCCACCTTCTTCCAGGTTCACTGAAAGAATTACAAACTTCTTCTCACATGTCTAGAAGTTGGTAGCAGAACACTTAATTTTCTGTTGGCTGAGATTATTACATGTGCATTATATAATGCTTATTTCACGCGTCCTACATATTTTAGGCTTTTGTAGACTGAAATAAATTTGGAGATTTTAGCAGCATCTTAGGAATTTAAATGTGAGGGCAATCACTGTTTTTTTTTTCTTGGTAAAATGTGTGGCCATATGACTTAAGTGAATGGTGAAAATAAGTCAGGTTTCAGACACAGTTCATAAAGACTGTGTGAGACCAGTGTTCTCCATTCTGAATTATGTTCCTTCATACTCTTGCCATATTAATTCCAAAACACCAGTTGGAGACCAGTAGATTGAAAAAAATTGTGTTATGGTTTCACTTTTGTTATGATTTCTTTATTCTTTTGTAACTTACACAATGAATACAGGTGTAAATTTGCCTGAATGCGTTTGATGTATGTGTGTGTGAATGGTTACACACACAAATAGAAAATTAGGGTATAGTGTGCACTGCTTGAAACCAACTGAGAAAAGAGACTGCTTTAACAATAAAGCTTTTCCAAGTGGGTAAGTGCAAGAACATAAGTGCATACAAGTCACCTTCTCCCACTTAAATCCTAAGGAGATCTCAAAGATGATGATGCCATATATGTTTATTACCCAGAAAGTGTGGTACAGCACTGAAATTGTCAAAACTTCAATAGAGTAAAGGTTATTCTTTGTGAGGCAGGAATTAGATTGATTTACTATGTCTTTTCATTACTTTACAACAATTTAAAAGAGACCACTCTTCCTGTGACCAGTTTTAAATGCATTTGCTTTAAAACTGCTCATGATGAATGGAAAGGAAAATCAAAAGGTACATGAAATAAAGGCAATCAATCATTTTGTATTAGCTGAGAGAAATTCTAAATTAGAAAGGCAGTGGTTTTAGTTCCAGAGAGGTCCTTTTAAGCATTCACCATTACCTGTAACATACACTGACCCTTCAAGAATAAATATTGTCACCACATTTTTTACTTAATTGGAGGAGTCTTTATGGAGATTTATTCTCTTTGGTTATGAGAAATATTGGCACCTACTCTTGAATACCTTTCTGTTGTTAAAAAGAACCAGGATGTAGCCTATATGAAGTACAATAACCACAGTACATTAAGAAGTTACGTATACAGTTTGTAATGTACTTAACACAGAGCATTTTGGCAAAGTGGTAGTTTGCTAGAACTTCTAACAAATGACTTATAGTACAACTAACTGGAATAATTGCATTTAGATGGAAAGCATTAAATACAATTTTGAAAGATGTAGTGACACCTGTGGGAACAGTTTGCTTTTAGTGATCTGGAATAGTGTGAAAGTATGCTGTTAGATGCATTACCTAGTTGCTGTGTTAATCAGGAAGATATTAATCTAATGAGGATTTGTAACTCCACAGATTCTTGTGTATTTACTGATAGGTCTTCCTGCTACCTGACTTGAAATGCCAGATATTTCTAAATGTTGACATTAATGGTTACAAAACAATTATCCTGCTCAAGTGGCAGCTATAAAGTTATATTGGTCTTAGCATTTTATTATCACTATTTATGACAGCTCCCCCAGAATGTCTATTACAAATCATCAATGACCACCATGTTTTCTTTCCTCAATTCAGTATCAGCTTCTGAGTATTGTCAAATGTTAATAATGCAGTTGTAGGAAGAGATTCCTAGTGAGGGGAAAGGAAGTGACAGGAAGTATAACTGAGTCAGACCATTTTTCTTAATTATGCTTTTGGTGGTTGGTGGGTTTACTTTATGAAAGTGAATCTAGTGCTCCGTGCTCATCATCTTTGCTGAGAAACAACTGAACATTAAGGAAAGTTTGGATAATCTTCACGATGGTATGGGAGCATCTTCTCCCAACCCATTCTTTCTTTGTTTTGCTCACTGTTTACCTTTTTTCTACTGAGGATCTACAGTTCCTAAGTTAGAGGAAGAACCAACAAACTGAAGTTGTTCTGTCAGTTCAGACTGTAGATGCTAAGCTACAGGTTGATGTGATGGCTCAAAATCTAGAATGTTGCCAAAAACAGCAGTCATGGATTTTACCTGTGAATACAACATTAAGAGATGGATGGATGGATGGACGGTCAGACAGACAAACACTTATATTCACTGGATGCACAGATAAATAGATTCACAAAAACAAGTTTTCTGTGACATGTAATTAACAGGTTTTCTTTCTTTTTCATTTTAATGCATGTTGGAGCCTGAGATTCATGACTGTATTTTAGAGCAGGAAATATAACCAGATTAGATATTGAGGTCTGTGGACACAATGACTTCTAAAACTTTACTGTCATGGTAAACTTTCCTAACTAATGCCAATCCAATTGTAAATGAACTGGTGAAGTCCTCCAATCTGTGCACTGTTTAACACAATGGCATAGTTTTCACTAGAGCATGGAGCTTCTGCGTGTGGTATGCATGATATTCACACAGCTATGACACTTATGACTGATACATTTGCAATGTGCACAGTAATAAGAAACACTTCAGATCTCTAAAATGCAAAATCAGAAAGCTGCAGATAGCTTTTTGTTTCCTGGTATGAGAATGCCCTGCTCCTTTGATAGGAAATAGTTCCTTCCAGATGTATCCTTTAGTTACTGAATCCCACAGTTTAAAATGAGATTTTCTTCATTCTGTTCATCATGAAAGTTGTAAACTTAAATGTCTACTGAAAGCAAAGTATCTGTTTTTAAAATGTTTTAGGTGAATGTTCCTTTTGCTTTCAGCAGAGAGCTGAAAGAAAGAATGCAAGTGGACTCTCAATCAGAACTTCTCAGTAAAGCCAGGAAACAGGTTATCAACACTTAAGCTGGTCTTATTGTGTCCCTCATCATAATTGACAGTTTGACGTAAAACTTGGCCATGTAAACACTAGGGAGGTATGTAAATGGATAAGAGGTCAGTTTTCACATATGCTTGCTGAAAAGGAAACACATTTAAAGGAAGTTTCAGCCAAAACAATGACAATATGCAAATGTTCAGCTTTATGAGCTTTTTTTGAACTAACAGAAACTATAGCAAAATCTCACATTACAGTCTCCAAGATACTTAACTATTTTCGCTAGTAATCACAGAGGCTTGAAATGAATGTTAATATTTGATGGGCCACTGTTTCAATAGGAAAATACAAAACCTGCTTAAATATTAACCCCTGAAATTATTCAGATGATTAAAGATTGAGCTGTTGACTGTGGAATTGTAATGTAGGAATGTAGTAGGATTTGCCTACTTAAAAGTGTGCAGGACTTGCACTTGGAAGATGCCCAGTTTAAACTGAAAAGGCAGATATAGCGAGATCTGTCTCTTAGCTCGAGCTTCATATCAGTTTGACTCAAAGCACTGGAAAGTACTGGAAAATGCAAAATAAAAATCACTCTCCTGGTGTTTTACAGAGGGCAAAGCAGGAGTAGGGAGGTAATGCTTGACTCCATTGCTACGTGAGCCTGTGGCCCCTTTCCATGATGTTGCTGAGGTGGTAAGGGAGTTGCACTCTTTTCTGGAGAAATATTTGCAGGCCAGGTAATGCAATTTCCTGCAGGCTTTGAGCTCCCTGGTACTCCACAAGTGAGGGCACATCCCAGGGACTGCAGACTCCACACACAACTCTGCACACTGGTGTAAGCTTAGGCTACACGTCAGGTTTCCCTGTCTACTGCAAAGCTGGGCACACTTTTTCTCCTCAGCATACAGATCCACATTCTTTCTTCCTGTGGGGCTAAGTGAGAGAGAAGTAAAAAGTCACTGCTTGTATTCTGTGGATGGAAGGTGTTACTGTTGCTCACCTGTCTGAAGATGGCAAAGCTATGGGACTAAAGTGCAGGCCGCTTCCAGCAGGCTTCTAAGAGGGGCTTTTGCCATGTCACAAGTGGCAAAATCAAGTCATTTATTTTGCATCCACAGCATATTTATGAGAAAGTTAGTCATGTTTTTCAGCATTTATTAACTGTCTCTTAAGGACTATTTCTGAAGTCCTTCTCCTAAGGAATCTAAGTTTTCTCAAGCAGACTGAACTAGTTTCCTGACTCTCCCTTTCGTATTTCCTGCTCCAAACATCTCCTAGGTGGCTTATTGCGGGTGAGCGTGAATTGCCTTCTCATCTCCAGTTAACACTGTGGTATAATTTTAGAAGTCACTCAGTTTACTCTGAGGACTGCAACTGGCCAGAAGGCTTTCAGCATGCCTCCAGACAAAAGGTAGCGCTCAAAATACTGTACTGAAGTGCCCTACATCCTTCCGAAGCTAGGTACTCATGTCAGGCCTGTGCTCCCAGGCTTTCCCTACTGGGCTGTCTGGATGTCCTCCAAGGACGTTGTTCCTGCTGCTGCTGTAAGCAGACATCTTCCATCAAAAGCAGGCAGGGCTCGTTGAGGCCTTTTAAGCCCTTCCAGACCTTTTACCCAGAAAGCACTCAACAGCAAGTGAGGGATGCAGATGAAGACTTTGAAAGGGATATTTCCAAACACTTTCAAATGTATATTTCTAAATCCTGGACTATTTTTTTAGACATCATAGTCTCCAGGCAGTAGTGATTTATAAAAGGAAATTTTACGTGAAGTTGAAAAAAAAACCCATTTTCCTGGAAGCTTAGCTTTTGAAGACAACACCACAGCTATGTTAGCCTGCAGATGAATGTGAAGCAATAGATTTTAACATGGGGAAAGTGGTTTTAAGTGCAACTGATGCCATCCTGCTTTTCATATATGCAATTATCAGGCAGACCTGCAGTGGTTTGTATTGACAGTACTACAAGGAGGCATAGCTGGTGCAACAAAAAGCACTACACTTTACACTAACTATAGATTTGATCCAACATTAATCTACATATATAGGTGCATGCAATAGGTCTATAGCATATATAAAATATATACATTCTATAACTATCACATCAGTATTTATATGTGTATGTGTTGGTGTTGTGCTACGTATGACTGTATTTAATATGATGTATGCCAATACTAACTTTAATGACATAGATTTGAAAAGCTCTTTTTGGAGCTCTTACTGATAATTCTCATGCATTAACTGCACATATGGATAGTTTTCATTTAGATGGTGGGAAAAATATAACAATTTAGTGCAGGAGCTGATTTTACTAAAATGTAATGTAAAATGCTTTCCTTGTATCACAAATGCAATCAGATTCTATCGAAAACTAAGTACTTGCCAGATTTTTGAGCTAGACCTAAGTGCATAAAAATTGAGTAACACTAAGTTTAGGATATTAATATTTTTCTGCTTATTAACAGCCAAATATAATTTATTCATAGATTTCATATTTTGTGAAAGAAGAAAAGATTTTTTTAAACCTTTCAGTCTTTTATTTCAGTGGGAAGTGAGTTTTTATAATTAAGTTATAAGTCTTTAAAATATTCTTAAAAAGCTATAGTGAGAGTACAGCTTTCGTATATCAAGTAATCAAACCAATGTTTTACTATATCTTCCATATTAAAATTTGGTTTACAATACTGTTTTGTGTAATGAATAAACCAAATATTTACTTAGTCCTTTCTTTAAATATGTTTAATGTATTATTCACAGTTACTGCTAGCAAACTTTTTGAATGCATATTTCCTTTTCTGTTTAATTTCATGTGGTTTAGTCATGCTTTTAATGGCCTTTAGAAGGTCCCTTGGAGTTCTTTAGATAACAAACAAGAAACAATCCCTATGAAAATATCAGAGACTAACATTTCCATTTCTCAGACCTTAACAGCAGGAAACTTATGAATCTATCAGTCAGGCAGGGTCAGGTTTGCAATACTGTCTTGTCCTTAGCATTTGTATTTTTCAGGAAAAGGTTGCAAGTAAATGTGCTCCTGTGAAAATACTGTAGTTTCTCTGCTTGTGCTTTCTGAAGACCAAATATGAATAGAGAAAACTGAAATTAAAGTAATTAGATTCAGTAACAATATTATCTTCAATTCATAGTTCTGTATCATATGTAATGGTACAGCAGTTTATAATATCACATAACTATACAGGGGTTAAAATATGTGTTTTCTTTGCAAGCTAGATAAGTTCACTTTCTTAAACGTAAAAATAAGTCGTATATCTTTTCAATAAATCTGCTAACACTATGCAGCAGCTGCTAAACAAGCAGAGCTATACGGGGTTACTTGAAAAGTCCATGAAGGCAGAACTGATGATTTGAGGATCTGGGAAGAATTTGCTTCAGATTACATTTAGTACATTCTTCATTATACCAAAAAGCAATAGAATATTTTAAATGCTGTTATTCTGAGCCTAAAACAAGATTAGATTATCACCTCTTTCTAAATAAAATTGCTCTGAGTAATACTAAATTAATAAACTTCAGTTACAAAATATCTTTACCCTTCTTAAATAGCAAGATAAGGACATACATATTGTTTAATTTGGACAATATTTCTATAAATTGCATGTCTTCTATGTTTCACAAAATGCATGCTACATGATATTGACTACATTAGACCTTAATACACGATTTAGAGCATTGCTAAGAGAAAACATCATTTTTATTTTCTTTCTTAAAATATTTCACTATTGAATATTAACATTTCCTTTTATTCCAGCTCAGTTTGTAATCTAATATGGCTAATTGTTTTGTGCTAAACACTAGTTACTCTTTTATGCTTTATTAATAGAGAAGCATATTAAAATATCATTATCTTAAGCAAATCTGTAGGCATTTATTTTTCAGAATAAGTTATTTTTGTTTGGTTGGTTGGTCTTTTTTTTTTCTTCTTTTTTTTTTTTTTAATATTCTTCTTGAGAAAGTAAGGCTTTTGCCATGTACAATACTATTTTGCATGCATTCATTTAAATACTAAAAACTGTAGTACTGCTCGATCCATATCTGACTGCTAGGTTTCAATTGACAGCTGAGGATTTGTGACTGGACCATGAATCAAAACGGCAGGCATTTATACCCCAGTGCCAGTGAGGATACATTGGGAATTACTTGGCAAAGGTAACATTTTAATTATTTCCACCCCTACACCACATAAAAAAAATTTACATTGAGCTATAGTATCTGTTTTACTGGGCTGCCAGTGGAATATGTGACAGCATCTGATGAAAATTTGTTTAATATTTCTGCAGTACACATTTAGGTTATCTTTAATATAAACTGAATTTAGGACAACTTTAATAATCATCTGGAGTGATGATGCTGTGCTATCAAATGCAAAAGGTTTACAGATTTAAGGGAATACTTAATACTGATTTCAGGCTTTAACAATGAAAATGTCATTTGCATAATTAAGGGACTTATTTGGGGGGACTTAGTGGTTAATGCTAAGAAAACGGTGCTCTGAGCAGTATAGACACAGATAATAATAAATGTCTGATATGGTGGTGGTTTTGGATAATGAATACCCATACTATTAATAGAGATTTTTATGACTAATCAGCTGGTTTAGATTTAGGTCACTAACATGTAAATGAAGGTAAGATATAACCTTATTTCTAAATAAAATCCCCAAATAATTAGGGATGATTTCCACAAATTAAAGGCTATTTTTGTATGCAAGAACAAACAAGCAAAATGCCCACAAAAAGAAGCTCCCACACAACCTTTCTCCTGGGGGAAAAAGAAGGCCCCTCCCAACCACGACTTTTGGGACATAAATCAATTACTCATTATTATTCGTTACATCTGTTGATATATGATGAATGATGATAACAGTAGGGATGTGTTTGTCTAAATAGACGTGTAAACAAATCAGCATAATTGTGATACATCTGCTTTTCAGCTCTTTCATGTGCAGAATTACCCACAGATATTGGTGGGGGGTATAAATATAAAGCATGCAGGTTCGGAGCCTGTGAAATGATGTATTATCTACTCACTCAAGATAATTTTAAATACTTCACAGATGTTTGTGTGCATATGACAGTATGGGTCATTCTGAATAGTCTGTGTGTATATGTCAGTACGAGTGTGTATGTGTAAAATCTTTCTTTACAAAAGTGATTTCTGATATACTGCATTATACTATGGAATTTCTAAATTTTTTTTTTATTTTTTTGAGTGTCCACTTGGAATATTAATGACAAAATTTGAAAAATTATTGCTGTTAACAAATCTGAAGTTTAAGTGCCTTAAATATTGCTGCTTTACTTTTTATTACTGCATTTTTTTTTCTGAAATAATATTTATCTGGAAAAAACTGTTGTGCGAAAGCGAAGTGTAATCATGTCTTCCATTATACAAGGTTGCTCTGAAAGCAATGCCTCCTATTTTATTATGTTGGCCCATGACATCAGAGATGGATGTTGGTGATATGGCAGTAGAGGTTGAACCTTCCCACCAATATTCCATTACATTTTGGTGCTGTGTGAGAGATGGCAGCATCTGACAGAACAGCACATCTGACATGGAAGCGCGTATAAAGCAAAGGTTTGGAACTGAATTCCTCCATGTGGAAAAAAATGGCACCCGTTGACATACACTGATGCTTTCTGAACGTTGATGTGGACCAAACAGTGTATGTGAGCACAGTGAGGTGGTGTGTGGTGTGTTGCAGCAGTGACAACAGCATTGTGAAAGACAAGCCATCCTCCGGAGGGCCATGCCGATTTTTACGAGCACAGCATGCAGGCTCTTGTTCATTGCTGGTGAAAATACACAGCAAATGGTGGTGACTATGTTGAAACATAGTGTTTTGCAGATGAGAATTTTCTCTATCGAAGTTTTGTTGTGCTCTTTGTAGCTGCTATAGTTTCCATGGAAATAAAAAGTAGGCATTAGTTTCAGAGTGACCTATGTAGATTACGGCACAATGGAAAATTAGCTAATGGATTCACCTCACCTCCTCAAAGGCTGTGATTCACATTATAAATCCCGATCACAGTTTTCAGTGCTCTGTAAAGAGTGAATCCGAACTGTGCTACTTTAGCATGGGAGGGTCACAATGGAGGTGGTGATTTATTCTCCTATTGCAAAGAATATTGCTTTCTCAGGGCATTGACAGGCATTGGGAAATTATCTCACAAGTGCCTATATAGAAAAATCCTTGAATGGTTTAAATCAGTCATCTCTCTTGACCCCTTTAAAGCAATGAATATTTATACCAGCTGAAGCACTGTCCTGGTGAATCTGGTTTTTTTTTTTCCAGTACCTAGCACATATGAGCCTTAGTTGAAAAGAGAAAAAAGGGGGAAAAAATTTCTAGGTGTTGACCAAGGAAACCTTGATGATGAAATTAAACATTCCATTATTTGCTGATCTTTATACACAAAACTGCTTTGCAGGTAGCTTCTGGAATGTTATTTGCCAATTTGGTCTTATCAGTGGACAAAAGTGTTCCCAGATGAGCTCTGTCACAGATTCTTCAATGGGCATCAATGGATTGCAAGAAGAATTGTTTCCTACTAGCAGAGAAAGATATTCTAGTCCAGACAGCCAAACTTTATCACAGAAACTTGTTTGACAAATGTTTTTCATCATATAATTCCCTCAAATCCGTAGTACTCGTTTAGATGGCACTCAGTCTGACCTTTTGCAACAGGCTTCTACGGTTATTTTAAGTACACTGGTTTTCAGAAAAGTCATTGACCTCAAGAAAGACAAGATGTTGGTTGAATATCAATTGTCTTGTCTACACAGAAATCAGGTAATGAAAGTGACCAAGCTGAAAGCTTTGTAATGGGGCATTGTTGGTGACTGATGTCTTCAGAACTTAGGGAGAGCAGAAGATGAGAAAATGCCTGTTATTTTTGTGCTCTTTGTCTCATTAATAGCTGCCTGTCATGTCATTTTGCTGTATCTTCTGAACTCTGAACATGTAGTGTATAGTGGAATTTAGCTCTTTTAAGATAATTTAGGACAGTTTTGCTGTACATATGAAGAAGATATTTAGAAATCATTAAAAATGCTCCCTTTTTTTTCATGACGACACTTCTGCAATAATATTTCCTTAGAGACAGAATGTAAGGGGAAATTATGAAAAGCTGTAAAGTTCAGTTAGAAAAATACAGTCTCAGTCACTATCTGAGAGCAAAAGCATATGCAAAAAATAAACCTAAGACATGGGTGAGAGTGAGAAAAAGTGTTCATATACTGGGTAGGAAGCTTGAAAATATAAGCTTGAATCTCAGTTGATGAACAGTAACTCCTGCATCATGAGGCTTTTTCATAGTGTATGAAATATTAGCAGATCTTTCACAGAATGTAAGCAAAGCTTCGTTATCAAACTCCAATACTGTTAAATATTCTTTTTATTTATACAATACAGATAACTATTATTCATGTTACAATCTATGTTACTTTTACGGGTTAACTGTAACTTTACATTTACACTACTCAGGCGTCTGCACTAGATTTGCATTTCCTGCTTTCAGCCTGTTATCTTGACACATAAGTGCAGTACAGCAGCTGTTTTGTTCCTGGAGATGCTGAGGAGAGCTCTATTCTCAGAATACTGAATTTCCTTTCCTGCAGTAGCTATTAGGGTATTCAAATGCTTAACTTTTCAGGCAGTGCTTTTCTCCCAGGATCACTCGTGGCTTATTGGTAGCAGTGCAGCTAAAGCAGCCAAAAATGGAGTGGGCAAATGAGAATGGGTGTGAATTGCTTTTATCTCGTAGTATCTTCTGTGTATCTGGAGTCCCGCAAACACAGCTAAAGTAACACAGTCAGCAGCATTGTTTGTGTAAGCACATTTTGGTGAAGACAGACACCTGTTAGAGCAATAGTTCATGTCCACCCCCCTTCTCTCCTTCTCCTTTCTGCCTTGGGCAATATTTTGGAAGAGAAATATCAATTCACATGTTGAAATATAAGAACAAAAACACTGAAGTATTCTGACTGTAAAAAATATTCGTAGAAAGAATACCTAATGAATGCTGGTCTTTATCAATTTAAACTGCTAACTCTAATAGTTTTGCCCAACTCTTTAATGCAGAAAGATGTTCAGAACAGTATGTTTCCTCTCCATCTAGGCAAACATCTTCAGAACACTTCCTAAGAAATTAATTGTATTCAAGCCAGACTTGCATGCTGCCATCCCACAGGAAATGGGTCAGCAATCCATTAAGATGCCATTAGATAATCTAATTTGGAACTTAATCTCTAAATTAACCATGCTCCATACTTGAAGCATACTTGAGAGAAAGAAAAAAAGTTTATGTTTGAATCGATAGGGGAGCCGAAGCGTGAAGAAGCCTGTTTGTTTTTTCTGTAGCTGTGGTCACGTCTCAAGCCGTCTGGTAACCAGGAGAAACCAGACATGATGTAATTCCAGATTGAACTTGAACTTCAGGGACTGAGAATGGGGGAACAATGGACCATAGGAATCAATAATGTCCATTTTCCACATGATTATGTTTGGAGCTTTAAGTTAACCTTTATGGGGAAAGTAGCAAGAACTGTAGTGTGATGAAAATGAATGAGATGATCCAGAAGCAAGATGTTAAAGTAAACAACCTCAGTAATATTTTCTGAGCAGCATTTCAGATTCCAGCAGGATTAGAAAAGTTCCCGCTCTGCAGTGAACTGGTTGCCTGTTCTGAGCACTCTTTGTTCACTTAGGTAGGACAAACTTAATCTTATGTTTCCTGTCAGATGATTTTTGGCAGCAGTCTAAGTAGAGGAGGAGCATATTATAGAGAATTCCCAAGTGTAAACTGTATCTTTAACCCCTTGGTTACTCCAGTTTTCTATTTCTGCATCACCTTATCTCCAAATGTTTCTTCTGAAGCTGTGAAGCATTCTTTTTTTTCTTTCCCTTCTTTTTTTCTTTCTTTCCTTCTTTTATATCTTCCTTCCTTCCTTCCTTCCTTCCTTCCTTCCTTCCTTCCTTCCTTCCTTCCTTCCTTCCTCCCTTCCTCCCTTCCTCCCTTCCTCCCTTCCTCCCTTCCTCCCTTCCTCTCTTCCTCTCTTCCTCTCTTCCTCTCTTCCTCCCTCTCTTCCTCCCTCTCTTTCTTTCGTCTTACTAATTAAACTGAGCAGTGTTCATAAATTCAGGC